GGGCATTGGCAGCTCCGTCTAATCTGTTAATTTAGCATTAAAATTAACGTTGAATTATAATATATTATTACTTTATGGATTTAGTTAAACCGGTGTTAATCTTTTAAAAGAATCGCTCACCATGAGTGCTGGTGGCTCGTATCGTCTCTTTCTTCCGCCAGGCTTTGCAGTATCAAGTTTGGGCCAACTATTGGCAGGAAAAACGTGGTCCCACCATTTGCAATTACATCTGTATGACTCGTGATGTGGTAAGTAACCTGGGCAACACTATCACTTTATAATGGTGAGACTGCATCGTTAAAGGTGGTACGGCTAATGGTGCAGCCCAACAAATGCTTGCTCATGCCACTGCTGATGGCACACCCTTCCACGACTGAACGGATGTCTTAAAGAAGCACTCTGACTTTATCACACCAGACGTAACTTGCCGATCGATTAACTATGGTGTACCCATTTATAAAGCTAGATGGTCAGAGCTAGTGGCGGGGGGGGGGGGCTTAAGAACCTGCCCATTATTTCAACTGCAGTTCTGGGAAATCGAAATGGCAACCTTTGTTTTGGCACCACGGTGGCAAGATCTTAACTATCTCGACTATTGGGCAGGAGTGCATGGGTTGGATCCTGACCAAAACGCCTGTACATCCGGAGTTTGTGTGTCTTGCCCGCGGGTGGATTTTTCTCTGGGTCCTCCGATATTTCCCTCCACATTTAGATTCAACACGCGTTTAGAGTATTTTGCTACTATAAATTCCCACACGATAAGCAACTTCGCTGAGTTATCTTTTGTGACCATGTCGAGATATCAAACTGACATGTATAAAGAGGGATGAAAGTGGTACTTGTCCGACCTATCGTTTTTAAAAGTAAATTACAATCAACTATTTTAATTCACCAACCATTCTCAATCCACTGCTAGATTAAGGCCTCCCATGGCGGCTGCTTGGATGAAGTCTCTTATTAATGTCTGTCACCGTTAACATTTTTTTAGCTACGTAGTTAGACATAAAATCAAACAAATCGCGACGTTTCGATTACAACACAAGCAACCTTCAGCAGGTGGGAATAACCACAGCAGGAACAAATGCCGAAGTTGTTGTTCCCACCTGATGAAGGTTGCTTGTGTTGCAATCGAAACGTCGCGATTTGTTTTATTTGATTTTATTTTCTACCTAGGTGACTTCACCGAAAGAACCAAAGAGTATGGATTCCTGCAGTCACGAAAGCTTCAAATCAAGATTTATTTTTAGTTAGCTGTTTGTTCTAGTTTCATGTGAAATTCAGTACCTTTTCACATTTTGCTGGTTGCGGTGTATCATTTCCAATTTGCATGCTAAATTTGTCACGTGAAATGTCTAATGATGTTCTATAGAAGTAAGGAGATTGCAATCCTATTCTTTCTTGTGAATATTGCACATTGAATCTGTAAGTAGAATAACAAGATAGCTGCTTGACAAAATTATATATAAATACACAGGTTTAATTAGAGTAAGTGATGGGATGTATGGTTTAACAACCTCACTTTTATAAAAACGTGAAAAGCAATTTGGAGATATTAATTATTGGTCCTGATGAAAAACAATTGCAGCTTTGATAATAAATTCAGTGATCTATTTTTACATCATCATCATCACACAAGTTTACGTAATGAGGTCACATACTGAGAACTCCAAATTTAAATGACTGTGCTCGAGATACCGGTTCAGTATCTTGGCACGGCAGTTGAAATGATGGGCAAGTTCTTAAATCCCCCCCCTTGCCCCAATTCCTTTGCTGTTAAAACAGAAAAAGGGGGGGGGGGTGTTCAAATGTGGTTACTCCCATCTCTTCCAAGACATTTATTCAGAGTGGAAGAGTAGGGCAAAATACGTTCTAGAGGTGCTCTTCAAAGCTTCCTCTGATAGAAGCCCTTCCACCAGCGGTAGCATGATCAAGAAAGTGTAGGGCTGCATTTCATATCGTAAGTACTAAGAGTCAAAATGATATATATATACCATCACTAATACAGCATGTATAAGTATACGATTTTTGGAAATGCTGCAATACAAGGGAGTTTCAAGGTGAAAATTATATTGTTAAAAAAACGGGCAGTTGATGGAAGGCCCACTGGACATTGTGGCAACGTTCATTTTTTGCAACCCAAGGGTTTCCATCAACACATTTTCAAACAAGTGCTTAGCACCACATATGCGCACAAATGCACGTAGGCATACACGAGCAAACACAGTATTAAATGGAAAAAAAAAAACAACTGCACGGACTCACGTATGCTCACAGCTGCGCATACAATGGAAGCAAGACGACAAGTCAATAATAAATGTATGAGGGACATGCGTGTACGGTATTAATAAAAAAATATCTATTATATATATAAAAAAAAAAATTCGCACGTCCATGTGACCTGCACAATTTCAGGTTACGTTTCGAATCTAAGATCCTTGGGTTAGCACTGGGTTAATTGCAGCCCACCCAGCGCTTACACAGAACGCCGGGCTCGAGGTTTGAATGTCCTGGGCACAAGGGGACCTCATTGGGCCGGTAATTGAGTGAAGCCCACCCGAGACCCCTTGCTAACTGCCAGCATTCATCACACACACACACTATTTAAATACTGTAGTAATGAGAGCCCACTGGGATACAGCTGGAAATGCTATACCTGTTCAAATCAACCTGCAGGAACTCAACACCTGCAACCTGTACCAGTAGCTGCTCAAGGCATTCGTAAATTGAACAAAAAACGCAGGTGGCCAAGCAACTCAGAAGGCCCCGAATTAATGGACAAACCAGAAGTTTATGAAATAACAATTCACATTTAAATCCCAATAAACATAACAAGCTAATTAACGTCAACAAATCTAACCCATTTCTATCGTCTTCACCTCTATTTGCTCGTCTCACTATGTTTCTTACCTCACTACGTCTCTATTGTTTTTCCATATATCTTCTGTCAACTCACGAGGATTTTATTAATTGAAAATGGAGGGGGATCATGAAAATATGTTTTGCTTAGGGCTCCTAATGTGCTATCACCACCACTGGATTGTAGAGCGGACAGTACTATGCATTATATGAGGCATGCAGTTCGTGTAAAGGGAGGATTACCACAATCAATAATCCACAATAGGAAACGGACAGGTGTTTATTTTATATTGAAGCAATAGATGAAAGTGGATTATTTTTGCAGAGAAGAAAAAGCTATAGCTTGTAGACACAGGGTACAACACAGGAGACGTGATCAGTCGCTGACTGACAGAAAAGTGTTTTTTTTTAATTCCACAATGGATTAAGTTTGTGTCATCTGCATGACGTCATACGATAAAGCATCCATTCAGGAATCTCACAAAGCAGTGACAGAGAATGACCACAGCCGCGATTTAAACATATATTAAAAAGTTCCCTTGTTATCGTTTCCACGGCAGGGGGCATACTGTCACACAAGCTTTGCTATGAGACTGTTGCATGAAAACGAGATGTTTTGTTTTAAATCTCAAGGCTGGAAATTAGCCAATTTAAGCGCAAAAATATGTTTTTATATAGTTTTGTGTGTGTGTGTGCATTGGTGATCAGGCTCAGACCGTCAACTTGCTACATACATATGAGAAGCCAGTGTAATAATGTGTGGTTGCCCAGATATGAACATAGAATCGAAGTGGTGCTAGCTCAGCGTTCTGGCCTCCGTGCCACTCAGAGGACAGTGCTTGTGTGGGTAAGGCAGGAGGAATAAGAAAATGTCTTCATTTAATCTTTCTTTGGACTGGATATCATTACTGCGGTTGCTGAGTGATCGTGGTTGGAGCAGTGGTTCGTGCACTGTGTTATGAGCCTATCAATCCGAGAAGGGTGTTTGATCATGGTTAACATCTGTTAACTAATATGTGTATTACTCTTGGGTCCCCTTTATCAACCCGCATTGACTAGCTTGGTGAAGTATGGTGAAATAACTCCGACAACCAATAGTGCATGATAAGACCTTCATATTGCAGTGGGTTAAAAAAGGGTGGAAACTAATATTTTATAATGGCATTCAATTGTGGTGTTCGTTTATGGTTATTAAATGTGCTTCGAATACTTTTCTGACAAGATCAAGTTAAATTCGTTTAAGAGGTGGATAAAAGGCAATTAAATTAATCCCATTTAGAAGAATACCATAATAAATCGACACATTTGTTATGTGAACCGTTTTGGGTGTCTGTTTTACTGGGTCACAAATTTCCTCGGAAATGTTTAATGTGTGTATGTTGAACTTCTTTTGCACCGTACATAGCCAACCGTGCTAATAGGTTTGAAGGTTTAATAAATGTGTACATCTTTTCTCTAATGATGCACAATTGTGTGGCTGAAAAACCATTTGCATCAGAAGAGTTGAATGTAAAAAATATATGTAATTTATTAATCTGATTAAAGTATAAATGTATGGAAATTGTATATAATTATACAAAAAAAATCAGTTTACATTTATTGTATTAATTGTTCGTGCATTAGTCCGCAGTCTCTGAGCAATGTGTATTTGCAGGACATAAACAGGTACTATTTTGAAAGGTGATAGCTTCGAGAGGTCTTCAGCAGTGCATTTGTCATGGCAGGTGATGAGTATAATGACGATTTCTCAGCAGTACATGCAATGCATATGTAGATATTCCCAACATACAGTTATTTTAACCCTGTATAATTCTAATACATTAAAAAAAACTTTCAATCCATTCCAATCATTCCAAAGAGCAAATTTCTAAATTACATTTATTTCAAATTGCGTTCCACCGGGTAATTGAATTTGAATGCAAATAGGATTCCCTATCCTGCATTCCATAACGATCACGGCATTAAAATACAATTCCACAGCTGCCCGGGACTCGCCGTCCCAATGAAATAAAAGATATCCAACATTATGGACCATAGCACCTTGTATCCGTGATGATTTGAAATGGCTTTAATGCAGAGCAGCCGTGATCGGCCAGCACAGTTGCACCCTCGCTCCCCGCGCTCCCCAGCCGGTCTTTCCAATACCCCCCCGCCCCCCATCATACCTCTCCCATGCTGGCCCCTCCCTCAAGGGGTCGCTGAGGGGGATCAATTTAGTACTGGAATGAGTAAATTCAGCGCCCGGCCCGCCGGCGACTCGTCCCATCACGCGCACGCTTGCGCGCTCCTCTCGGCGAGCTCCGAGCGCATTCCGTGCTGTGTGCTGTGCGTGGCAAGTCTGGAGCCGGATCTCACCGCATCTCGACTCGCCTGCTTTCCCACGCAGCAGTAGCAGCAGCAGCAGCGGCATTGACACGGACGCTCCTCTCGCTACCGCAATTCCAGCGAGGGTTTTGTTGCGTGTGGAGGAGAGAGGCGGGCGGGCGGGAGAGAGAGGATAGAGGAGAGAGGGGTGTTGCAGAACAGCTCCACGAATCTATAATTTGTCAGCGGCGGCAAGTGTGTTCATGACCTGGGCAACCCCAAAAAACTGCTAATTATTGAGAGGGAACTTTACACGCGCAGCCTCAAAAGCAAGCAGCAGCACGCTCGGGTAAGACGATTCTCTCGTTCGTTTGTAACGCTGATTGCATTTTGCACTCCGCATTTGTTTGTGGCCGCTCTGAAGAACTACCAATGAGCAAACGCACAAGCATGCTAAATGGACGGCTTCTTATTTTGTTGCAGACTAACAAGGTATTGTTTTGAAATGAGTAGATATTTTTTTTACCAAATGCTTCAGGTTAATGTAGTGTAATTATAAACGACCATGATACATGTGCAATATAATTGGTGCTTCTTTTATGATTTTTTTAAATACTGATTTTCTATTTATTTTATGTTATTTCCAAGCATGCGTGAAGCGAGCTTGTTATGGTGATTACTATGCCTCAAAAATGCCACGTTGAGTGTGTCTATCTTCAGAATTCAATCATTACACAATGCCGTCGGAATATCACGCATATAATGTGTAACCTTAAGTAAGTGAAATAGGTCACAGAAGCCAAACTTATTTTGTGAATTTGCATTCCATTGTCAAATACACGCGATGTTAGGGAGATATTATATGTTTGACGGGCAGCTTCATGCAACGTGACTAACCTTTGCAATGCGATCTTGTTTCGTTCTTTCATGAAGCAGTCTTCCTCGGTTTTTCTTCCTCTCGTAAGAGTGGCTTGGAAAAGAGAGGAAAGTGTGGTGCGTGTTGTGTTGGTCAAGTGATTGACAAAGACGGCTTCTCTGCTGGCTTTTACAGAATTTGTTATCGGAAACAGAACTCCCCTCAACCTGATGGATTTAGTATGATGGCTCTGTCTGTAAGTACTTTTTTTAATTTATCTCTATCACTTTTTCTCGAATGCATGCTTTGAGGAAATACAACAGATGGTTTCACGTTGGTAATATTGAACTTGCATGGTGATTCTGTTTTTAATATTGATTACTGAAGATGTTTCAGACAGAATTAATGAAACCTGAATTTGTTTTTCTTGTGTTATGTCGTGGACGTAGTTGAATGCCAGTGTTTTCATCTGATTTCTACCATCGAATTGGCATTTTGATACATGTGATACTGTATCAAATGATTCTGCTCTTTGAATGCCAATGCATTTTAATTGTGTGGACTATAAAAAAAGGTTTCAGTTTTGTTGCCAGAAAAAAGGGGAAAACGCCTATTATTACGTTTTGGTACTGGCAAAGGAGGTCTAATGATGTGTGGACTATGTTAATACACCCACCGTATGAGCACGCATATGCTTATATTTGTGTTTTGCACTTGTAGAAGCTGTTGGAGAAATCAAAATCAAGCAAAATAGTGCTATCATTCGGACATATCCAACGTGCACTAAGTGAACAGGGAGCTGAACAAACTTAAAAGCTTGACTGCATAACACGCATTACTGGTGTAATTACATTGGGCCAAATATTGACCCTACAACAAACTACACAAACGTTCACAATGAGTATAAAAGGCTACCTTTGATCGCTACAAACCTACACCTCTCACTGTCAGGAAACCCTGCGTTTTCATTGGAATTAATTATACACTTAAGTGAACACATCTAACTAGTCATGTCCATTGGCTGCATGCATCCCATTGTCGTACATTAGTTGTAGTTATCGACAAGGCGTGACAATTAACACGATTGTGATTAGTGCATATTAGACATGCGTTACAGTGGGTACTCAACCGCCCGTTGATTAGCGCATGGAGCTGTGAATTGCAGTACACCCATGTTACCAAATGTTAAGGCTCTTTCCCTTTTCAGCCATCAAGTATTTTCTTTGCTTGCCAATGTCAAGCCAGGCACGTAGTAGATACTATTGCGTCTACTCGGCAAACAATTTGCTGCAATCTGATTCAGTTGTCGTTTTTTGTTTCCTATTTACAACACATGTTATTGGAGACCATTTTAAATGTTTTATGCAGTCACTCAGAAATATGTTTTAACCACCGCTAACATATTGACAAAAAAAAATTCTAAGCCGTGCAAACAGAGAGATATTCTGCTTTGAGAAAGACATCTCTTCCTGTGGAACATGCGATGCATCGTTGCGTACAGAAGGCAAACACAATTTTGCTAGTTGCAGCAATGAGCAGAGACGGAATGCGAGAGAGGCAGGATGTGTTCATGGCAAATGCGTTACTAAAATGTGTGTTTCCATTAGGCAGGACATGCCATTGAGCTTTATTGTTTGATGTCCTCTTGCATCTACTTGACGTTTCCACAATTACAATTGTGGAAGTAGAGAGTGCTACAATTTGTTATTAATATAAGAAGGCATATCAATCCCAGCATATAACGCAGCTAAAGCAAAGCACGTGGGGGAAATAGTGTAATTATTACAGGAATCCAAAAGTTTGGTGAGAGGTGGATATTGCAAAAAAAAACATAGCCTTCTGCCACTATCATTTTCACACTTGAGTAAATTTTTATTGAATAATTTTTACAAATTTAAATGTAAGGTACAATTCAATGTTAAAAACCCCACCTATATGTATGCATGTGTTGTGGTTTGAGGATATACTTTGTGTGATTTATTTGAGAAACAATGATGGCATTATCTTTTAAACTTTTTGGGAAAAGTGAGTGCTCTTTTTCTATAAGGCAAAGATAAATGTGCAGCCTTAGAATTACTTGCTCACTCGAGATAACTCTAAGGAGTACTTCTAGAGGGTATTGTTGACCTACTCTTCCATATGGGTCACATGTTTTATAAGAGGTAGTCTGAGTAGATCAAAGCAGGATTTAAGAAACTCACATATTGTTTGAACTGGCAAGCCTGGAAATTGAACCGGTGGATTGCAAATCTAGTGATGACACCATCCCTCATTTTTGTAATGGCAGTCACCATCAGCAACATTACACAAAAAACACGTTTGAATTATTATACATGTAAATAACGTTTAGAATAATTGTAGAGGTTAGAATAAGTATAATTTATTTTATTTCATTGCATATAGGCAACGTATTAACTTGAAATTTGCTCTAGAGTACATCAATAAACTTATTCTGATCAGATATTAAAAAATAACATCCAACAATAAACATCTTCCTGAATGTGACATTATAGTTCATATTGACGTTGAGTTACTCTGTTGCTTTAATGTAAGTGTGTGAGTCAGTTCATCCGACTGGCAAGAAAAACACATTACTTTAAACTCTCTTGGAACATTTAACCGAGTATTTGGAGAAACTTATGGACAGAACATGAGTGCATTTGAAATTCTAGCGTGCTTTACAAAATGACGGTGTGAATTATATTTTCTCTATCCTAGGTGACGTGAATGAGAATGAAATATCCATCATTTAGAGTATCAAGTGCCGGAGCAGAGGATAGTCATGGCAACTTCTTAGATCCAATATCACTGACAGGGAAATTAATCTGCATCATCGTGCTCACCGACATGCTCTGCCACACCATCTAACAGGTTTCCCAGTTCCCGTGCCAGAACACACGGGGGTATGCCAAAGCAATGCCCCCAAAAACAATGATCTTTCTGTTTACACTCAGCTCACGTTCATTTTGCTTCTGATATTCCTATATTATCATGCACGTGCATCTCGCTCACAACTGTAGAATGTACACATTCGCCCTCGTGAATGCAGAAATCATGGAAAAATCAAGCCAGAGAGGAAAATGCATCACACACAAACACACTTTCTACTTCAGTAGGCACACCAGAATTAGTTTGGCATTAGAATCAGAAAAAAGGTGCTAGTGATACAAATTTAAAATCAAACCTCGTAAAACTTCGAGTGGCTTCAATGCTGGCCGACACTTTAATGATATTGATGTTAAGAAAGTTATTTGTAAATTAATGTTTTATCTCCTGAACTGTGTCACTTGCAATAGCGTTATTAATTGGGCTTTCACCATGATCAAATTAGTCTAAAGTCACGCTATGAGAAAATGACAACATGTTTTGCAAGAATACAGAATAAATACACAACTTGCAATAACCCAATGTGCACTTTTCATCCAAGTAAATGTTTTGCAATAGCCCTCGTTTAAATAATCATTGCTTCCGAGTACAAACATTGTAAGGCTGTACATTTAATATTTGATGAGAATCAGTTCTGTCTATCGATTGAGGGCAGAAACCGAGGTCGGTGTTTGCATAAAAAAGTGACAGATCATTGTTTGAATTCAATTGCCCGAGAGATAGTGCGGATACACTATTGAACCTGAGGGCAGGAGAGGTGGAAAGCGGTGAGAATCTCATTGATTTGCGTGCTGTGACAGGATTACCTGTGGATGGTCTATGAAGGAAGAATCACTCTTTGCGCTTGGCTCAGCGCAATCATTTTACATCTGTTTTCTTGAAAGCTCACTTCAAAGCACTTATTCTCCATGCTGTTGGTTTTCATACGTGGTGGATTAATAATGCATGTTGTACTTGCCTACCAGCACCTTTTTAACCAACACGTTTTGCTCAATGTATACCACTGCGTGTAATGTGTCAAACGTCCCATTGTGCTCCCAGTCACGACACTTCCACACAACGTTCACGACTTCTCTATTGCAATCGGTATTTTGCAGTGTGCGTCTTTGCAGTGGCTGCTATTGTTTCCATACAGCATGTGGGGCAGTGAGATCAGGGGAATGTCACTCCGTACAGGAGATTGTCATGTCGGTGCAAAGCAAGATTGGTTTTTTTTACAGTACAGAATATTGTATGCAACAGCTGCTGAGCAGAACAGACAATCTCTACTCATTTCTGTCTCACGTTAGGCTTGGTCTAGATTGTGCATCTTGAATGCACCGATGGTGGTGAGTCAGGAGATGCCCTTGCCTTTTAATTCTTTCACATCTGAGGCAATGGGTGGTGTGCTTGCATGGCCATAAGTTCAAGGTAGCTTATCATACGAGATGATCAGTTGTAATAATGATAACTTACAGATATTTGCCAATAACACTCTCCATGCCGTTGTTGGTCTTGGGGGGGGATGTTTTGACTATACTTCACCATGCTGGTCACTGCAGGTTGGTGAAGGAAGGGGGGGGGGGGAGAAAGATGTTCGTTGTCGTTGGGAATAAAATTAAGGTCACAGGGTTTAAAGCATGGTGCACTGGCTACAGCTTCACCACTCCTCGAGGATCAGTGGTATCAGATGGGATAATGAATAATTAATTACTCCATTCTATTTATCATCGTGTGTGCTGTTGCTCTGGAGGCGGGTAGACCGATGACCAATGTTTGGCCGGCGCGTCGATGGCGTTTGTCGTGAATTCTAACTGAACGGAGTGGGCCACGTGAGGGCTGTCAGCTTCCATTCCATTATGTAGCATTGGTTACGAGGCCTTTGTTTATCCAGTAACGTCTCATTGAGTCTGGAAGGTCCTGCATTGGGATGCTTGATAATTCCATTAATTAGTGTTTGGCATGTTGAGGAAACTGCAGTGCCCAGAGAACACCCATGCAGATGGATTAATGCATGCTGTGTACTGCTTTCCAAAGGACATCTCACAGCTCAGCAGGTTTGGGAGTTCTATAATGTTGTCACCTACCATCCCTCGCCTCCAAAGTGCAGGATTGCAGACATTCATCACCATGCCCCAATTCAACATTTTTGCACATGGAGTCCTAAACTAAATAGTAGTATGATAATAGGTTTTCCCCCTTTTTTTCTAGCAACAAACCCGGTGTTAAGATGTTAAAACACCAAACTGAAACCTTTTACAAGGAATCATGTCTGCAATAACCACAATACTTGTGGTCAGAATTCAAACAAAAAAATATACTCTGATAATAAATGCATTGTCCTTGAAACTGATTGGTCCACACCAGAGACAGCTTTCTTTTGAGCCTCGT